TTACATACCGCTCCAGCGGGAAGGTAAATGGCGTTTCCGTGCACTGCGCTGGTTCAGAAGCGGCTTAGTCATGCTGGCCACATGACCCGGAAGCTGTACGCAGGCTCCCTCGGCCAGTAAAGTGAGATGAGCGCCGCAACCCCAGAGTCAGTCATGACTGGACCTCACGGTCAGGGGTCCCTTTAAGTTTACCTATTGTCCTCAAAAAACTCTTTACTGCTTCTCCAATTTTGTTCAGATGGTGTTTTAAGGAAAGGGGATCAAGGGTCTCAGGACCCACTTCTTATAATGTATGAAGTAGCTTATAGCAAAAAAGCCTAATAACTCTTCTGGGTAACTGAATAAATTATTTTAATAAATATTTAAATGGAGAACATATTTTGCCTTCTCATGTTCATGCAAACATGGTTCTACTCCAACCTCACTTAGTATTAAATTGTGGGTGGACATAGCAGACGCCACAGAGATTTCTCCAAGTGGTTCTTTATAGTAAGCTGGAACTGAACTGAACAGCAAACATCTCAGCCGGCCTGCTTTTATAGGCAGCCGGCTGTCAACACTGTAACAACAACCACCTAGGGTTTCCCGCCTAAATTGACTGATGTGGACCCGAGTGAAAACTATATACACAATACCCCTGGTGGCCAGGGTGAGAACCTCATAGTCCCCACTTCCACCTCAGCAAAGAATTTTTTATACAGAAATCTCCTGGACAGAAGTCTCCCTGTTTGCATTACAGGGAAGGCTCAGCCTCTGTCTACCTTATTGCACACTAATTACACACAATGTCTTTTGCCGTGTCCTGTATTCTCCTCAAAGAAACACTCCAGAGACACAGGAACGGTGACAGGCGGCAGCAGCAGCAGGAGCTAGACAGATTAGCTGGGGATTTTGATCCAGAAAAGGAGCAGACCGGGAAAGGTTAAGCAGAACCCCACCCCCGGGGTCACCCTTAGGTGTGCTCAGTCTTCACCTGCTTCATGACTCCACCTTGCATGAGAAAGAAGGATGGAGCTCCAGGAAACAGGAAGTGGTCCTTCAACCAGCCAGGACATCTCACCATCACAGACAGATCCAGTCTCCTGCTGGGGAGTCAAGAGTGGCCCTGGGATGGCAGAGAGAGGAGGGGAAGGGGCCAGGGACAGAAGGAATGGCAGGGCTCCAGATGCTCCCTTGGACCCCCCCCCCTCCCTTGACACCAAGGGGAGCTCCTCTTCTGGGGCTGAAAGCATTCGCGTGGAGGTTAGTTTTTGTTAGGAGTGCAAGGAAGGGGGGAAAGGAAACGTAAAACACACCCACACACTAAGAACTGAATGAAAACAGGCCTGGCTGAAGGAATAGCTACTGGAGAGCATAATGTGGGGTGTAGATGTAATGCTCACCTGCCTCCCTGGACTGGTCTTTTCTTGGGGTCAGGGAGCTGAGGTGGTCGATCAACATGAAGTTCCCAGGTTACCTTTCCTTCTGGTCAGCTATTCCAGCTCTTGTCTCCTCCCCATTTCTTTCTTTATGGAGGGGCAAAGGCTATGCACTTTGTATAGATGCAACTACAACCCACAACTGGAATCTTCTGGGTGCACTGAGATCCCCCCCCATAGAATAGATTCCCTCAGCATCTTGCCCCACCTCCCAGAAGGCAAGATCATCTGGTTAAAGTGTTTGTTTCGGACAACATTATATTGCATTTATCTTTATATCAGCAGTAATAAATATATTAACTGGGTTATGAATAACAGTTTAGATACTCCTTCCTCCTGGGCCGTGTTCAGAAAGTGGTGGTGGGAGATGAGTGTTCAGACCCCTGGGCTCTCACTTGTGTGGTGCCTCAGGGTTCTGTCCTCTCCCCCATGCTTTTTAACATCTACTGTACATGCAGCCGCTGGGAGAGATTATCAGGGGGTTTGGGCTGGGTGTTCATCAGTATGCAGATGATACCCAGCTCTACCTTTCTTTCAAATCAGAACCAGTGAAGGCGGTGACAGTCCTGTGTGAGTGTCTGTTGGCGGTTGGAGGATGGATGGTCGCAAACAGATTGGGATTGAATCCCGACAAGACAGAAGTACTGTTTCTGGGGGACAGGAGGCGGGCAGGTGTGGGGGAATTCCCTGGTCCTGAATGGGGTAACCGTGCCCCTGAAGGACCAGGTGCGCAGCCTGGGAGTCATTTTGGACTCACAGCTGTCCATGGAGTCACAGGTTAAATCCGTGTCCAGGGCAGCTGTGTACCAGCTCCATTTGGTACGTAGGCTGAGACCCTATCTGCCCGCGGACTGCCTCGCCAGAGTGGTGCATGCTCTGGTTATCTCCCGCTTGGACTACTGCAATGCGCTCTACGTGGGGCTACCTTTGAAGGTGACCCAGAAACTACAACTAATCCAGAATGCAGCAGCCAGACTGGTGACTGGGAACGGCCGCCGAGACCACATAACACCGGTCTTGAAAGACCTACATTGGCTCCCAGTACGTTTCCGAGCACAATTCAAAGTGTTGGTGCTGACCTTTAAAGCCCTAAACGGCCTCGGTCCAGTATACCTGAAGGAGCGTCTCCACCTCCATCGTTCTACCCGGACACTGAGGTCCAGCACTGAGGGCCTTCTGGCGGTTCCCTCACTGCGAGAAGCCAAATTACAGGGAACCAGGCAGAGGGCCTTCTCGGTAGTGGCGCCCTCCCTGTGGAACACCCTCCCATCAGATGTCAAAGAGAACAACAACTACCAGAGTTTTAGAAGACATCTGAAGGCAGCCCTGTTGAGGGAAGCTTTTAATGTTTGGTGTATCATAGTATTTTAATATTCTTTTGGAAGCCGCCCAGAGTGGCTGGGGAAACCCAGCCAGATGGGCGGGGTATAAATAATAAATTATTATTATTATTATTATTACTGTCAACATGAACTTTGTCTGAGGTTTCAGACATACCCATTTTGTTCAAGAAAGATGCAGAAAATACTTTTCCTTTTTTATTCTGGGCACTTGACTTCTCCCATCCTGCTACCATCCAGGCAAACGTTTGGGGCAGATATCCAGGGCCCCACTCAGCAGCAGCAACAGGGGGGGGGAGGAGGAGGCCCCACAAACATTTCCCACATTTTGAAGTTAAATGATACAAAGCCCCTTCAAGAATTGACAGAAGCTTACCAGGGTACCTTTCCTTCTAGTCAGCTATTCAGGCTCCTCATTCCTCCCCATTTCTTTTTGGAGGGTCAAAGGCTATGCACTTTGTATAGACGTAACTACAACCAACATCTGGTATCTTCTGGGTGTACCAAGGGGGCCTCCTTCTGCATTGTCAGCAAGTGACAAGTGTCCTGGAACAATCCCCAGTGTCTCTACAGAAAATGTTACTGATGGGCTTGTAGGGCCAGGGGAGAGAGGCAGTCTGCTAGATGGATAGGGTTGTGGGATAGAAATGTCAATAACCAAAGACTGAACTGGAATAAATGTGTAACCTGCCTCAAGATTCTTTGTGGTTGACTGCCACAAAAATAAGAGAAAGAATAGAAATACTTAAATTCCCCTATTAATATTAATGAAATAAAAGAAGGAATTGTGACTTCTAAGAATGGTAAAGTCCCTGGTGCGGATGGCATTTCTTTAATGAATTACAAAAAATTGGAAGAGATCATATTACCAATGTTAGAAAAAATAATGAACAAAATTTTAGAAGGAGGACAAGTGCCAGAATAATGACAAGAGGCCCTAATTACATTGATACTGAAATATGGACCCAATTTAGAGTAAATTAAGATTTATAAACCAAGACAAATTTACAGCAACGTAAGATTGGTAGTAGATACAATAGTATACCTAGAAATGAGAGCAGATAAAAAGGCAGCCAAGATCTTGGTGGATGCGGAGAAAGCATTGGATCATGTTTTGGGGGCATTCATGCAAAACACTTTGGGAATGATGAGTTTGGGTGAGAAAATATGTAGTGGTATAAAAGCGATTTATAATTCCCAACAGGTCAGACTAATTATAAATGGTGAAACATCAGAAGCTTTTAATATCTCTAAGGGAAAAAGACAGGGCTGCCCTCTTTCTCCTCTCCTCTTTATCACACTTCTGGAAGTGTATTTGAAAGCAATAAGAGAAGACCCTAGAATAGAAGGAATTAAAGTTTGACAAAGGGCCTATAACAGGGGTCTGCAACCTGCGGCTCCGGAGCCGCATGTGGCTCTTTTACACCTTTGCCGTGGCTCCGGGGCGGATACTAGCGAGGGGAGGAGGCGCATTGTGCGCCCCGACACTCCCCACTGTGGCGGGCGCTGTACTGGCTGTGACGTCGCATGGGGGCGGTGCGTGCATTAGTCACGCACCGTCCCAACGTCACCTTCCCGCCCACTGTCAGATCAGAGGCGCGCATGCTTTAAATGTCGCAATGGTTTTGCGGCTCTCAGTTGTTGTTTTTCTTCGGAAACGGGTCCTAGTGGCTCTTTTTGTCTTAAAGGTTGCGGACCCCTGGCCTATAAGGTCGGAGCCTTCGCAGACAATCTAATAATTACAACAGAAAACCTTCTAGAGCAGCGGTTCTCAACTTGTGGGTCCCCAGATGTTGTTGGACTACAACTCCCATCATCCCTGAGCTCTGGCCTTGCTAGCTAGGGGTGATGGGAGTTGCAGTTCAGCAACATCTGGGGGCCCACAGGTTGAGAAACTGCTCTAGAAAGTACTATACAGTGGTACCTCGGCTTACATATGCTTCAGGCTACATAAGCTTCAGGTTACAGACAGTGCTAACCCAGAAATAGTACCTCGGGTTAAGAACTTTGTTTCAGGATAAGAATGGAAATCGTGTGGTGGTGGCGTGGCGGCAGCAGGAGGCCCGAATAGCTAAAGTGGTGCTTCTGGTTAAGAATAGTTTCAGGTTAAGAATACACCTCCAGAACAAATTAAGTACGTAACCCGAGGTACCACTGTATTAAGACCTCCCCATGTAAATTAGTGGATATTTCCTAAGGTTCCATATTGACTAAAGCTTCTCCGCTGTGTGAGTTTGCCAATGTAATGTAAGTTTATCCTTCCTGTTGAAGCTTTTTCCACATTCAGTACATTTAAATGGTTTCTCCCCCGTGTGAGTTCGCTGGTGTATTCTAAGGTGTCCACTTTTACTGAAGCTCTTTCCACATTCAATACATTTAAATGGTTTCTCCTCTATGTGAGTTTGTAGATGTCTTCTAAGTATTACATTTTGACTGAAGCTCTTTCCACATTCAATACATTCAAATGGTTTCTCCCCCGTGTGAGTTCGTTGATGTACTCTAAGGTGTCCACTTCTACTGAAACTCTTTCCACATTCAATACATTTAAATGGTTTCTCCCCTGTGTGAGTTCGTTGATGTATTCTAAGGTATTCATTTTGACTGAAGCTGTTTCCACATTCAATACATGCAAATGGTTTCTCCCCCGTGTGAGTTTGTTGGTGTCTTCTAAGTGCTCCACTTTCACTGAAGCACTTTCCACATTCAAAACATTTAAATGGTTTCTCCCCCGTGTGAGTTCGTTGATGTATTCTAAGGTATCTATTTTGACTGAAGCTGTTTCCACATTCAATACATGCAAATGGTTTCTCCCCCGTGTGAGTTCGTTGGTGTACTCTAAGGTGTCCACTTCTACTGAAGCTCTTTCCACATTCAAAACATTTAAATGGTTTCTCCCCCGTGTGAGTTCGTTGGTGTATTCTAAGTGCTCCACTTTGACTGAAGCTATTTCCACATTCAATACATTTAAAAGGTTTCTCCCCCGTGTGAGTTAGTTGATGTCTTCTAAGGTGTTCACTTCTACTGAAGCTCTTTCCACATTCAATACATTTAAATTGTTTCTCCTCTGTGTGAGTTCGTTGATGTCTTCTAAGTGTCCCACTTCTACAGAAGCTCTTTCCACATTCAATACATTTAAATGGTTTCTCCCCCATGTGAGTTCCTTGGTGTATTCTAAGGTCTCCACTCTTACTGAAGCCCTTTCCACATGCAATACATTTAAAAGGTTTCTCTTCTATGTGAGTTTGTACATGTCTTCTAAGTGCTCCACTTTCACTGAAGCCCTTTCCACATTCAATACATTTCAATGGTTTCTCCCCCGTGTGAGTTCGTTGGTGTATTTTAAGTGTTCCATATTGACTGAAGCTCTTTCCACATTCAATACATGCAAATGGTTTCTCCCCCGTGTGAGTTCGTTGGTGTATTATAAGTGTTCCATATCGACTGAAGCACTTTCCACATTCAGTACATTCAAATGGTTTTTCCCCTGTGTGAGTTCGTTGATGTATTCTAAGGTTTCCATTTTGACTGAAGCTGTTTCCACATTCAATACATTTAAATGGTTTCTCCTCTGTGTGAGTTCGTTCGTGCATTCTAAGTGTTCCATATCGACTGAAGCACTTTCCACATTCAGTACATTCAAATGGTTTTTCCCCCGTGTGAGTTCGTTGGTGTGTTCTTAGTGCTCCATTTTTACCGAAGCTCTTTCCACATTCAATACATTCAAATGGTTTCTCCCCTGTGTGAGTTCCTTGATGTTTTCTAAGAGTTCCATTGTCCCTGAAGCTCTTTCGATAGTCAGTACATTTAAATGGTTTCTCCTCTATGTGGATTCGTTGATGTGTCCTCAGTCTTCCACTGTGACTAAAGCACATCCCACGTTCCAGGCATTTAAACTGTTTTTTTGTTCTTCCCAATGAATTCACAGATGGCTCCATAGAATTCTGGCCACCATGTTCCTCACCTGTTTGGGAATGGGGAGGAAGGGGAAGAGAATCCTGTTAAGACTTACAAGAAAGGAACTGAACACACGTCAATCGCAATATGCACCTTCTCCTATTTTAACACTGTCTTCTTTCTCCACTGTCCTATCTATGTTCCAAACTTTTAGGAATGCAGATAATGGCAAGAACAACACATGGTCATTCCATTCACACTTAATAAACTGCATTATTTTATAATCTATGGTGGAATTGGCTTCTTAGACACATCTCTGTATTTCTCTTTTTCCAGGGAGGAAATGATCACAGGTTCGAGTAGCAGTCTCTCCTATGACTAAGAAAACTGAAGTGTTACTTTGCCACATGTAACTGTAAAAATATTCCAATATATTAGTATCCCCAAACATCCCCCAGATGTTTTGGGACTACAATTCCCATCATCCCTGACCACTGGTCCTGTTAGCTAGGGATGATGGGAGTTGTAGTCCTTAACATCTGGAGGGCCAAGTTTGGGGATCCCTGTATTAGAACATAAGAAGAGCTTGCTTGATTGGGAAAAGGCCCACCTAGTCCAGGATCCTGTTCTCACAGTGGCCAGCTAGATGCCTGTGGGAAACCAGCAAGCCGGATTTGAGTACAAGAGCCCTCTGCCTTCCTGTGCTTTCCAGGAACTAGTATTAAGAAGCATAATTGCCTAGGACCACGAGGGCAGAGCAGAGACGTCAGTCTAATCCTCTTTTTTCAAGCTATCCAAATTGTTGGCCATCATTCCTGTAGGATGGAATTCCATAGATTAAAAATGCAGAAATACAACTAAGAACACTTTCGGACCACAAATCAATAATTATTGAACTAAAAGGCGAGAAAAATACTCCATTTAGAGTATTGCTCATATTTTGGGCAATAGAATGAAAGGTGTTTTAGCAGAAAAAAATCAGCACAATCAGGCCTGCTTTCTACCAGGACGTCAGATGAAGGAAAATATTGTTACGATATAGAAGCAATGCAGCTGCGAGATGCTAGCTTGAAAACATCACATGATGTTGGGACTGTCCGTGGGAAACAGAGGGACAGTCAATTCAGTGTGAAGCACCGGAATTAGCTCAGAGTGTAATATGAGCTGTACAGGAAGTACAGGAAGTGTTTGTCATTCGACTGCTGGAGCTTGAAGAGAGCAGTCATGTTTTTTGTAATGCTGCAAAGACAGAAATAAAGGCATGTAAATACGTTTCTGTCTATCTCTTTTCCCTGCTGGGGGGGCAAGAAAGAGGGGGGGTGTTCTTCTCACACTGAGAAGGATCGCCTATCGCGACCTCTGCCTGGATCTCGCTGAGGAATGCAGACAGGGAGGTTAACAGGAGATCAAGCCGGGTGCCTGGAGAGTTGCCAGTTACTACTCATATAGGCTTGAATCCCGACAAATATAAGGAATATAATTGATATTATTCAATACTTGGAAGTAAAAATTGAGAAAAAAGCGGGCTTAATGTTTATAGATGCTGAAAAGGCTTTTGATAATGTTTCATGGGCTTTTATGAAAAAGATAAAAGAAAAAATGAATTTTGAGGAAGCATTTGGGAGAGGAATTGATGCAATTTATTTCTACCAACAGTCTATGCTGATTGTTAATATGGTGATAACAGAAAAGTGTAAAATAAGGAAGGGGACAAGACAAGGATATCCCCTATCACCATTATTATTTATTTTGGTATTAGAGGACCTGGTGAGGGAGACAAAGTGGAGAAATTAATTACAGGAATAACAGTAGAAAATAAAGCATATAAATTAAAAGCTTTCACAGTTCACCTTGTAATTACAGTGAAGGATTCCATAAATACTCCACCGAAGGTGGTAGAAAAGATGCAGGACTTCGGGCAGGCCGGGGGCTTTAAACTAAACAAGAATAAGACTCCTCAATGCCTTGTTTGCCTCAGTCTTCTCCGATGAAGAAAACAATGCCCGACCTGAAGAATTTGGAGCAAATGATTCAGCAGAGGAAACACAGCCCAGAATAACTAAGGAGATAGTACAAGAATACTTGGCTAGTTTAGATGTATTCAAGTCTCTAGGGCCAGATGAACTGCATCCAAGAGTATTAAAAGAACTGGCAGATGTGATCTCAGAACCACTGGCAGTCATCTTTGAGAATTCCTGGAGAACAGGCGAAGTCCCGGCAGACTGGAGGAGGGCAAATGTTGTCCCTGTTTTCAAAAAGGGGGAAAGAGAGGACCCAAATAATTATCGCCCAGTCAGTCTGACATCAATACCAGGGAAGATTCTGGAGCAGATCATTAAGCAAACAGTCTGTGAGCACCTAGAAAGGAATGCTGTGATCACCAATAGTCAGCATGGATTTCTGAAAAATAAGTCATGTCAGACTAACCTGATCTCGTTTTTTGACAGAATTACAAGCCTGGTAGATGAAGGGAACGCAGTGGATGTAGCCTACCTTAATTTCAGCAAGGCATTCGACAAGGTGCCCCATGATATTCTTGTAAAGAAGCTGGTAAAATGCGGTCTTGACTATGCTACCACTCAGTGGATTTGTAACTGGCTGACTGACCGAACCCAAAGGGTGCTCATCAATGGTTCCTCTTCATCCTGGAGAAGAGTGACTAGTGGGGTGCCACAGGGTTCTGTCTTAGACCCGGTCTTATTCAACATCTTTATCAACGACTTGGATGATGGACTCAAGGGCATCCTGATCAAATTTGCAGATGACACCAAACTGGGAGGGGTGGCTAACACCCCAGAGGACAGGATCACACTTCAAAACGACCTTGACAGATTAGAGAACTGGGCCAAAACAAACAAGATGAGCTTTAACAGGGAGAAATGTAAAGTATTGCACTTGGGCAAAAAAATTGAGAGGCACAAATACAAGATGGGTGACACCTGGCTTGAGAGCAGTACATGTGAAAAGGATCTAGGAGTCTTGGTTGACCACAAACTTGACATGAGCCAACAGTGTGACGCGGCAGCTAAAAAAGCCAATGCAATTCTGGGCTGCATCAATAGTATAGCATCTAGATCAAGGGAAGTAATAGTGCCACTGTATTCTGCTCTGGTCAGACCTCACCTGGAGTACTGTGTCCAGTTCTGGGCACCACAGTTCAAGAAGGACACTGACAAACTGGAACGTGTCCAGAGGAGGGCAACCAAAATGGTCAAAGGCCTGGAAACGATGCCTTATGAGGAACGGCTAAGGGAGCTGGGCATGTTTAGCCTGGAGAAGAGGAGGTTAAGGGGTGATATGATAGCCATGTTCAAATATATAAAAGGATGTCATATAGAGGAGGGAGAAATGTTGTTTTCTGCTGCTCCAGAGAAGCAGACATGGAGCAATGGATCCAAACTACAAGAAAGAAGATTCCACCTAAACATTAGGAAGAACTTCCTGACAGTAAGAGCTGTTCGACAGTGGAATTTGCTGCCAAGGAGTGTGGTGGAGTCTCCTGCTTTGGAGGTCTTTAAGCAGAGGCTTGACAACCATATGTCAGGAGTGCTTTAATGGTGTTTCCTGCTTGGCAGGGGGTTGGACTCGATGGCCCTTGTGGTCTATTCCAACTCTATGATTCTATGATTCTAAGTTTTTGGTAAAAAACACAATGGAGCAAGACCAAAAGAAATTACAACAGAAAACAGAGTTAGTTATACATAACAAAGTCAAATACTGGGATATCTGTTTGACAGCTAAGAATATTAATATTTTTAAGGACAATTACAAGAATGAGTGGAAAGAAATAAAAAGAGCTTTAGAGATATGGGGAAGAATGAATTTATCATTTTGGGGTGGAATATCAGTAATAAAAATGAATGTATTGCCAAAAATGTTATTTTTATTCTAAGCAGTCCAGGCAATAGGCAACACAGGATGCTTTGAAAAATGGCAAGAAGATATATCTAGGTTTATCAGACAAGGGACGAAACCAAGTATAAAAAATAAATTATTAACAGATGTAAGAGAGAGAGGAGGTTTCACCCTGCCGGATTTGAAACTTTATTATGAAGCATCCTGTATCTGCTAGAACCGGGAATGGATTACATTAGAAAACACAGATACTGTATTTTAGATCTGGAAGGACACAAATAATGTATAGCATGCATATTTATGGTAGGAAAAGGCCAAGGTGCATAGAGCTTTTCAGAATCATATACTAAGAAAACCAATGTTTAGGGTATGGGAGAAGTATAAAAATTTGCTTCAGTAAAAAACCCCCTGGTGGCTTTCCCCCTTGGAAGCAATATCTCTGAAAAAAATTGAATATGAGAAGTACAGTGGTGCCTCGCAAAACGAAATTAATTCGTTCCGCGAGTTTTTTCTTCTTGCAAATTTTTCGTCTTGCGATGCACGGTTTCCCATAGGAATGCATTGAAAATCAATTAATGCGTTCCTAGGGAAACCGACTTCAGACCAGGTCCGGGGACAGTCTGTCCCCGGACCTCCTCTGAAGGCTGGGGGGGGGGACAAGGGCTTTTCTTCCCACCCCCAGCATTTTAAAAAACCCTGGGACAGCGGAGGACTTCTCCGCTGTCCGGGGCGATCTTAAAATGCTGGCGGGCGGCATTTTAAAATCGCCCCGGACAGCGGAGGACTTCTCCGTTGTCGGGGCGATTTAAAAGCCCCTGGGAAGGCAGGCAGGGGGGACAAAGACTTTTGCCCCCCGCCAGCCTTCAGAAGAGGTCCTGGACCTCTTCTGAAGGCTGGCGGGGGCGAAAGTCTTTGCTCCCCCCGCCTGCCTTCAAAAGCTGTCCGGCCCAGGCTTCGCGGATTTCTCCGCCAGCAGCGGCAGCGCTGCCGCTGCTGGCGGAAACTTGCCGGCATGCCGAAGCCTGCGCGCAGCGCGCCCAGGCTTCGTGGATCTCTCCGCCAGCAGCGGCAGCGCTGCCGCTGCTGGCGGAGACTTGCCGGCATGCCGAAGCCTGCGCGCAGCGCGCCCAGGCTTCGCGGATCTCTCCGCCAGCAGCGGCAGCGCTGCCGCTGCTGGCGGAGACTTGCCGGCATGCAGAAGCCTGCGCGCAG